AATTAAGCCTGTTTACCTTCAAAGAAAACTTTCTAAAAGCCACAGACAGACTCAATTAAAGGGGGTAAAACTAATTACATTTGTTTAAAGGGATTAAACCTTTCCTGTTGTCTTTTTTCTCCTTCCCCCACCCAAACCATGTTCTTTTATAGCTTCTCTTCTCTTCCCCCCTTTTTTCTTCAGTTCACCTCCAGCTCTGAGCTGCTTCTGGAAGCACCAATCAGCTGGAGCCAATCAGCTGGAGCCCTGCCAGCTCCTGGGGCTTCTGCCCAGCCCAGACAGTCCTGCAGCTGCAGCTGCCTCTCCCTCGGGCTTGGCTCGCTTTGGCTCATTCCCCTCCCCTGCTACACTTGGCTAACAATTGCGTACCACCTGCCATGTGGCCAAGTCCACAAGTGGTATGTGTACCACCAGTTGAAAAGTCCTGCTCTAATTCTCCATTTATTTGTATCAATTTCTGATTTTCATCTTTGAATTCTTCTAATTTTGGGTCGACCTCTGTTGATTTATCTTCTATTTTTTAAATCCTTTGTTCATTTTTTGTGACCATCTGTTTAAAATTTTCAAATTGAGAGTCCATATTATTAATTTTTTGGTTCATTTTATCAAGGTCATTTTTCATCTCCTCATGGTTTTTCATTGTAGCTGTCATATGAGTGGCTATTGCCTCTTGGATTGCTTGTACTGTCACTTGTGTCTCTTTCTGGAAGTTGTTAGCCTTTTCTTGTTGAAGCATAGTATCAATTGATCTCTGATAGTATGGACTTGCAGAAGCAGAGGAAGGGGCAGAGGGTACTTTTTGCCAACCTAGTTAAAATTGGGACACTCATTTTGTTCCCTGCCCTCAAATATTTTAATCATAATCTACCAAGTAGTTCAAAGTTGATAGTCCCTTTCCAATTTGAAATTAAAAAAATGTAATCCAATGAGCTCCAAACAAATAAAAGAGGTAAAAAAAAATAAAGAAGAAGAAAAAAAGGAAAGAAAAAGTGTAGAATTTATTCCAAGGTTCTGTGTTATCAATCTGCCAAAATTATAATCCAGAATATCTTGCTAGTAGTAATTTCTTGCCATTCTCTCTGTCTCAAAACAGCTTGTAAAATTCCTAGTCAAGCTGTATTTATAATCCAAGGAAGTCAGATGACTTCAAAGCAATTTGTACTTTTAATTGTAATCCATCCTGTAGAGAAAAGCAACCCAAAGAGATTTTTCTCTTTTTCCAGCCACAATCTCCAGGACTGTAGATTTCAGAGACATCAAAGAGTTTAGTCTGTAAACTGTGTCTGGGTGTTTAGCCAAGTTCTGACACTCCAGCCACAATATCTAGATAAGGTTAGCAAGCAAGGCTAAATGTAATTCTTAGTTTTGCAACTAGATCTCATTAGATGTCCATTTTGTATTTTTCCAACCAAGCTTTACAAAGTTTACAAAGTTACAGTCCAATGCTTTCCAATAAAAAAGTAAAAAGAAAAGTTTATGAATATTAAAGCTCCCGAAAATATTCTTCTTCTGTCCTACTCAATTATCTCCACAATAGTGTTATAAGTTACTTTATTTTCACCCGGAGGCTTAAACTGCCGCTTCTATTCAGGAGGGAGGAGTAAAAATATTCTCTCCTTCCCTTTAGCTTTCGGGATTTCTTGCTTTCAGGAACTTTTTCCAAAACAGGTTATTCAATTGTAGAAAGATAAGGAAGATAATCTCACCCAGATCAGCTGTTTTGCTATCACTTGGTTGTAGTCATTTCTCTCAGTGGACAGCTTCTGGCTAGCAGCATGAGTGCAGTCAGCCTTTCTTCCTGCCAGTCCCAGGGGCTTCCTTGGATCAAGCAGCTTGGCTACTGCCGACCTGCAATATACAAGGATTCACCCTTTGGCCTGTCGCCTTTAATCCAGCAGGTAGAATTTGGGCATGGGAAACAGACCCTTGTTTCCCTGTGTCTGTGTCATCATGATGTCACAGCTGGCCACTCAACAATATGCTTTTCTTGTTGGTTTCAGTCTGCCCACTTTGCGACTTAGTTAGTCTATATAATAGTTCATCTCTGAACACAAAATGGTGCTCATAACTCATAACTAATTATTGATGGGTGCTCATTTTCCAAATGTTTAATCTTAAAAATCTGTAGCAGCTATAGCTTTCCTCAGAAAAGATTGTGTGTGTGTGGAGTTTAAGGAATTGAAGACTTGTGCTCTGGTTGAGCATACAGACTCTGCATAGCCTATTGCTGACCTAAGGTATCATTGTGTGGTGTAAGAGAGAGAAGGAAAGTTAATGTGAGTTAATGTGAGTTAATGCAAAAGTGTTCTATGGAATTGGAATAAAAGTTTTGAACACTTCATATTTCTTGTCATGTTGAGTTTTAAAAAGCTAATAGTTTCAATTAATTAATCAATTAAAAGGCAAACTTCTAGGCAATTGTATGTCAGAGACTATGCTTTGGTGTGCATGTTTTGAATGTTGTTATGTCTCTGACACTGAGTATAGCAACTATTTTAAACAAAATGCAGGTGACCCTGAGCCAGTAACACTCTTAGCCCAACCCATTTCACTGTGTTGTTGTACAGAAAATAGAAGAGGAAGCAGTACTATCTTGCTTCCTTGAGTTATTTATAACTCAGTACTATCTTGCACCTTGAGTTATTTATAAAAAAAGAATAATAAAAGTGAGTTAAGAATATTTTTTTTTTAAAAAAAAACTGTTTGAAAATCATTCATTTGAATCAGTTTCTCAGGGAGTATTCCACTGAGAAGGATATGGCTAATGAACTTGAGATATAAGATTTTTTTTTCTTTTCTTCCTCAAGAACCCATATGGGGTTTTTTTGTTTTGTTTTTGCCATCTGAGAGGTGTTTATCTACTCTACTCTATAATTAATGAAATCACTGGTATTCATTTATCTGCAGAAAAAAACAATTTTGGCTAAAAATAATAAGAGATGAATTCTGTTCCCCCTTGTACTGAAACTATAATTTGACATTCAGAGTTATGGACAATAGAGGCTTCTGACTAATTTGGTGGTCATGTATGAAGAAGATTATAGCATTTTATGTGACTAAAGATGAGCTTGTGTAACTGTGACATCTTTAAGCACTTCCAATGTCTGCTACTGCTGCTATTACAGCTGCTCCCTCCTCCTACAAGTGAAGAAGTAAGAAAAAAATGTAGTCTTTCTACAAGTATCCAGGACAATCTGTATAGACCAGGAAAAACAATAATCGGGGGTATCTTTTCTCTAGTCTATCCTGCACTTTATTTCCATAATTTTACTGAAATTCCAAACAGGATATATCACATTTTAAAGTAAGTTTTCGCTTCAACTACTTTTTGCATTAAAACTATTATAATAAATTTAAACTAATTTATTTGTTTCTTTTTATTTATTTAAGCAAAATTATATGGCTGTCCACTCACTCTCAGTGATTTTATATAGCTTACAAAAATAAAAACTATAATTCCACCCCCAACCCAATGTCTGCAATCCATTAGATAGACTATTTGATGGGTTCCATTAAACTCTAGGTTCCCCAGACCCATTGGCAAAACCAGATATTCAGGGCCTTCAGAAAGATTGTTAAAATGGAGGCCAGTCTACTCTCCATAAGTATGATGTTCCAAACAAAAGGAGTCACCAGAGAGGAAGCTCTTCTTCTGGTTATCACCAGATGTAATAACCTGATATAATACATAATACATTGACTATGTATGACGGAAATTATCATGACTGACAGACATACATACATACATACATACATACATACATACATACATACATACATACATACATACATACATACTTACATACATACATACATATTTCTGAATCATAGATTGAACTACTAAATTTGGAACAGTTTCTTCTAGCAACACCTTAAGTAAAGACACTTGAATTAAGGTTATGCAGCAACTACCCAGCTGGTTTAAAAATCTTAGGACTCCCAAATAGCTTTATTAGTAATATATCTATGAATAACTCATTGTCATTTTTTTCCACTGCCAGTGTATACTGTTGTGCTAAAAGACTTTTGTTTTTCAATTTCTATACAAAAAAGCTTTCTCTTTTTAATTGAGTTTATTTTTTAACTAAAAAAATGACCACTGTGAAAGAGCCCATCAGTTTTATCTCTTTCCCTTTATTCTCTTATAAATCCTCTAAAAGAACCGCAATAGAAATTGAGTTGGCATTTTTCCAGGGCTTATATATTCTTCTTCTGGAAAGCTATAAGCCCTGTTCTGTGCTTTTGTACGTGTATTTATATAACATAGCAACTGCTACAATATCATTGCTAGCATGTCTAAATTCAAGAATATGTAGCTTAGTGTCTGGAGCCTTCCTATAATGTTAATTCAAAAAAGGACTCTGGCTTTTCATATGGTGCATATGCTATATATCTCTGAATTATTCTACAATATTAATTTATCCAGATCTGGAAAACAGATACTGTACAAGTAGACTCCTTAACTAAATGAAGTATTTATATTTATAATAATTCTTATAGAATAAATCACCACTGAATGTTTCACATCTTTTATTTTCTTACTTATACCAATATTTTTCAACATTCGGTAAACATATCTTTCAGCAAATGGATAAAAAAAAAAAAAAAAACCAACCCCAACAGTATAAAGCAATGATATGTCATTTCAAATCTCCAAGTAAAATCAAGGATAAACTCAGCATAAATATTATTTGTAGTTAAACAATGCTTATTTCTCCTAGTTAATAGAACTACTCTCTCATCATTTTCCAGTTTATGAAAATTGTAGCTTCCTAAATTTATAAACAACATTGTGATGTGGTTGAGAATTCTGCATTTTGAGGTTAAAGATGTTGGGTTGGTGCCATATAAATTATCACAAAGTTTATTAATTCCAGCAAGCAGAACTGTGAACATCTCTCTTTCCTTGGGGGAAAATGCAGCCTTTTTTCTGTGGGTTAGAAACAATGAAATATTCTTTCTGATGTCAGTTTCTGATTCTATGATGTTGTTTTTGCAGCATGAAGACAAAACATTATCAACATGTCCTTGCCCTGATTTTTGCAATTGATGAAATTAATAAGAATCCAGAACTCCTGTCCAATATCACTTTGGGTTTTCATATATATGACAATCTCTTTTGTTCAAAGACAACATATGAGACCATGCTGGACCTATTGTTCCCGACAAAAAGGATAACATCCAATTATAAATGTGATCGGAAACATGTATTATCTGTTATTGGATGTTTTACTGTTGAAAACAGCATCCAAATGGCCACCATATTAAGTATCTACAAGATTCCACAGGTATGTGTTTGTGTCTGCAGTAACAGCATGGAATCTTAACATTTGTTCTCTTTTATGACAGATTCTCTTGTTCTTAACTAAATTCTCTTAATGCAGAGGTAATTGTAATGTTATTATATTCGTTTTCACTTATCAAATGTAAAGAAGTCAGACACAATGTAATTATAGGATTTCCTTTTTCTGGATTATATTTTGTATGGGGAAAGTTATATGTATCCACTTTTCATTTGTTTAAATGAACAAATGGAGACACTAAGAGATTTAGATTTGGCCAATGCCTACATTGGTAGGTTTGGCTTTTTTTGTATGTTTCCTGGTTGTAATGCTTAAAATAATGAATCTACAACCCTACCCAGCTGTGTAAGAGTAAGTCTAAAACATACTTAATGAATTCTGGCATTTATTTCTATAAAATGTAATTTTCTTGTTCTATTTTTATCTCTTTTTTAGTTTGTATTTATTTTACTATAGCAATTATAATTTTTACTGAGCACATTAACATTACTTAAAAAAGAAGAGAAGCCTAAAGGAATAGTTTGCTATTGTGTTTGTTTGACAATAAATACAACATTTGTAGGAAGCATTTATTTACCTTACTTGGAAATATACATGGTGTTATATTCTGCACTGTATATTCAGAAAAAACATATCATTTGAAAACATTTTTCCCACTTCAAAATATATTTTATTTCCCTCCAATAGCTGACTTATGGTGAATATCAGCCTGAATCAAGCAGTAAAACTGATTTTCCATCTTTACATTGGATGGTGCCCAGAGAATCTATTTTATATAGAGGGATAATCCATTTACTCTTGAACTTCCACTGGAAATGGATTAGCCTTATTGTTTCTGATGATGATGATGGAGAAAACTTTGTGCAGAAACTGACACCCATACTGGTCCAAAATAACATATGTATTGCCTTCCTGAAAAGACAAACAACAAACAAATATCTTGCTGCCAGTTACACAAATATTGAAAATACTATAAAATCAATGAAAACACTTTACTCAACAGATGCCAGTATAATTATTCTCAATATGGGCTCTGAATTAATTGATATTTTAATATATTATTTAGAAGAAATTGAAATAATGTTCAAAGAACATTTAGGAAAAATTTGGATCATGCCAGTCCAATGGTATTTCAGTGTAACACCTGAAAAAAAACTGCATGGCAGAAATATTTTCCATGGTTCCTTTTCTTTCTCAGTTCAAACAAGTCCAGTGCCAGGATTTAAGGAGTTCCTTGAGAATTTGAATCCAAATGGAGCAGTTCGTGAGTTCTTCTGCACTTTCTGGGAAGCTATATTCCATGTATGTGAAATATGTGGAAGAGAAGAGAAACTGGAGCAGCTCCCTGCATATTTATTTGAGATGGATATGTCTAGCGAGAGCTACACTGTCTACAACACTATTTTTGCTATAGCATATGCTTTACATGCAGTATACCTATTGAAACAAAGAACCTTTTATAGCAAATTCCAAGGCAAGCATATGAATGTTCAACCATGGCAGGTAAATAATTTAATGTGTATGTGTGTGTGTATTCAATTCTCTCTCTCTCTCTCTCTCTCTCTCTCTCTCTCTCTCTCTCTCT